AATATAAAAAAACAAATCAATAAAGTATATCCAATTTATTAAAAAAAACTAAATTCACTATAACAAGAAATAAAAAAAATAGTAAAACTAGTAAATCTAGAGAAAAAATAGTAAAAATATATATATAAAAACCTCATCAAATTCTTAACACTAATTACCTTATTTTGTTGAAGAGGTAATTAATTCCAAGCTTTATTTTAATATTTTTACCTTGCTTGTATTATTGTATTTTTTTTTTGTTAGGAGTCTAGAGAAAAAAGACTGAAAAATAGTAAAAAAAAATAATTAAATTGAAAAGGTATTTTTTTAACCACTTGAATAAAAAGAAAATTTTATATTTAAAAATAATTAATAAAATAATATTTAAATACTAAATAAAAAAATATAAAATATTTTCCAGGGGTGTTTTGTAGAGGCCCGGCCCCTGCTTGCCACCTCGTGATTCCGCCTCTGCTGTTATGTATAACATGTGTGTGTTTTGATATTATTTATCATGTCTTTAACAGGGAAGGGTTCTTGGCCTAAAATAGAGGAAAGAACTCGGCAATGTATAGTATATTGTGTATATTTTTTTGGCCTTAACCGATAATACTTACTGCTTGCTCGGCAATGCATCTATCATGACCTTTGTTATTTGAACAACCTATAGTAGATTGCTCAACCTGGTCCAACATGAATGTAATGGTGTATCAGATCAAACACGAAGCATTCATGAAACCCACAGCAAACGCAAAATCAAACACTAAAACACACTTAGAGAACAGGAAAAACACTTGTATGAGATCAGAGCTGAAGAACGCACAGAACCCAAGAAACCTAACCTCTGTACCATTTGGAACGAGCTCTCTAAGCTCCTGTACTCCCTCCTGGATCAGTTGTCTACCGCTTGGCCTTGGCCTTCGGTTTTCACCAGGTTTGCCTCTACCACCAACCTTCGACATCCTCTTGCCTTTCCCAGGGTGAGGGTGATTGCGAGCATTTCCTTCTTGTTCCTGGTCAGAAATTGTGCTCTCCATGCTATTCAAAGCAGCTGTAGCATCCATGTTTTCACTCTAAAAATTACGTGCAGATGTTAACAAAATTAATAAATATAAATGGACATATCAAACTTTTTTTTTTTTGGATAGATTGCATTGAAAGTTGATAAATTTATTTTGAATTTGTTAATTAGATATTTTATGATAAAATAAATAATAATTTATTTAATAAGTTCGTTTTATATTTTGTTATTTTTTTGTTGAGTTGAATTTCTTAGTAAATATATAAAAATTTAAATTTATATCGATAATTTATAATTAAGTAGTTGTACTATTAAAATGGTTTAAATAAGTTTGAGTTAAACCAATGTTCTATTAGCTATTTAGTTTAATTAATTACTACATGTTGTTATCAATATTCTATATATATATATATATAACATAAGTAATTGATGATTATTTATGAATATTGACACGACTAAAAGATTAATGTCTTCTTCTAAGTGTAGGAGTGTCGAAGTAATAAATAACCCGGTAAGACCGGGGTCGAACCACAAAGAGGTTAATTGTATAAATTATAAACAACAATTATAAACAACAACAATAGTAACAATAACAACAACAACAATAATAGTAATAACAATAATAACAATAATTACAATAGTAGTAGTAGTAGTAGTAGTAGAAGAAGAAGAAAAAAAAGAAGTTGATGAGAACTTTGAGATAGAAAATTAACGTAAGGATTAAATAATGATAATAACAAATGTCAAGGTTAGAGGATCCACTAATGGTATGTCAAACAAGTATAGTATAAACTCTTATTATTTAATTGGAAACCATACACAAAGGAGGTTCCAATCTGATTATAGATTGTTAACATGATTACATTAGTCATCTTATTCGATTAATGCTAATACTTGTAAATCTCGTCAAGCATTCATGATTATAACTTATGTTAACAACAAATCAAGTTCTTTTCATAGCTCATGTGTCGATTATACCATACAGCATGAGTTATGAAAGTGTCAAGTATTTGTTGTACCAATTGTTATACAACATAAATCAAGATTAGTCATTTAACAAGCAAAGTATTAAAGAGTGAACAAGATAACAAATATAAAACATGTTAGTATCAAACATTAAAGTTCATATTAAGTTTATACTATACTTATTCTTACACCATTAGTGTAACCTTTTCACTTTGACATAATAAACTTAGTTAGACATAATAAAAGAAAGAAAAATAGATAAACAAAATAAAAACATAAATAAGATAAAAGTTAACTAAGTAAAGGAAAGGAAATGAAAGACATAAACTTGATATTAATGAAAGCAAAGCATAAGCAATACAAAAAAAATATAAGAGAGAAAGCAAAAGTATGATTTTGATCTGGACACCAAGATGCCTAAATGCATGGCAAATGCCTCCTTTTATAGGCCAAAATTGAGAACTATTGATTTGATGACTAATTGATGAGTGGGTGACCAACTCTTGACTTGGTGACAATCCTTATCTTCTTTTGTCTGCCCAAAATGTCATTGATAACATCAAAATTGGAGCCACTTAAAAACATGAAAGTTGTAGGAAATTGTCTCAGCTTTCTTGTGTAAACAATTCAGCTCATTTGGACTTCTAGAACTCCAAATATGGACCAAACACTGAACAGTGCTCGGGCTGGAAGACAAATTTAGACTTCTTTGTTGCTGCTACAATTTGGACTTGAAAATAGCCTTTTTAGATCTTGGACTCCATATGAAAGTTGTAGGCCTATGTCTTACATTTCCATCCATATAAAGTGGACCTAAATCTGAGAGCTACAACTCCAGATATGATCCAATTACCGAACAGTGTTCTGATTTGGATTGCACCAACATCTCTTTTCTAAGTTTGGCCATCTCTTTGTCCTTTTAATTTCAGTTCTTAAATTCATCAATCAATCCTTTTATTTATGTGATAGGCCTGTATTTAAAATAAACATTTACCACAAATTAAAGGTATCTTATATTATTAAATATATTATTATAAAGCATGCTTTAGTTAAGGAGTTATTAATACTTCAAGTGCAAAATGATGATAAAACCTTGATAAAAATGCACTTTTAAGTACTGATCACAACCCCAACCAGCTTTAAAATAGAAAAATACTTTGCAAATTCCACAAAGCAAGGTAGTCATCATTTAACTTCCATTAATCTATCTAGATAAACAAACTCTCATTAAATTTATATACCTGCTCAATACCTCTTAACAAGATATTCATAAACCTTTCTTTTGTGCTCAATATATCAACACATAATTATGGGGCTTTTTTTGGAAGAAAATAAATTTTTTGTTCTAATGTTTAAGGTTAACTTCCTTGGGTTGAGATTATTATTTTTGTCTTTTTTTTTAATATATATACATATAATTTAAAACACCATGCATCTTTAACCCATGTAACGAGCTTTCAGCTAATGACTCCCAGACCAGTTGGCCTTAGGGCATTAGTTGTTAAGACACCCCTACAAGCTTAGTAACTCGGGTCGCAAATACTGATATGTAGATAGTGCAATGTTTGATTCCCTTAAACTTTTCTCCTCAACCCATGTAACAAGCGTTGGGTCAATAGCTCCCAAGTTAGTTGATTTTAGGGTATTAGGTGTTAAAACACCCCTTCGGGCTTAATTGCTTAGGTTAGGGAGGCTACGAAACCAAACTTGTCTACATTTTTTATTATTATTATTATTTTTTTCTTTTTTTTTCTTTTTTTTTTAAATTATATACTATCCCTTTCCCTTAGTTGTTACCTTTAACAAAAGAACATAAATAATGTAATAATCCAATATGCAACCCACAATCATATGTTTAAAGTGTGTGTGTGTAAATTAAGGTATAAGAATATATGTTAAATAAGTATATGAGCAGAATTAAGTAATAACAATGCGAGAGTTTGTAAATCTGAATATTTCAAGAAGTATTATGATAGACCTTGTTGCGAATGATTACTAAGATGCGTCTCAAGAGTCATAAAAAGTTCTCCTTACTTTGCCATCATAGTAACAACAATTTAACACATGCTTTAAGAAATAGAAAACACAGTTAGTTTTTTTTTTAGCTACTACCCTCTCCCCCCAATTAAAACGAAACATTGTCCTTAATGTTTAAAGGTAGAAAGATAGAGTATAAAAGATATCACCTGAAAGAACGAACACTGACAAACCTGAAACACACTGAAACAAATATAAGAAACAACAAAACACAATAATAAAACCAAAAGACACAAAGATTCATAAATAAAAGCTCAAATCCAATCTAAGCTTTTTACGGCTTTCCTTAGTTGACCAATTTATGCGACTCATGGAAGGATCAATTACAGGAATGAAAGATTGTAGTTGGTCAATCAATTATTCAGCGGTAGCAACAGAGATTATGATTTGTCGTGCAGAAGATGTTAGAAATTCCTGTTCCACAGCATGATCAAGAAAAGCCAACAACTTATCATAATAACCATTAACATTTAACAAACTTATGGGTTTATGGTGAATGTGTAGTTGGGCCCAAGAGAAAATATAAAAGATCTCCTCCAATGTACCTAGACCACCCGGTAAGGCAATGAAGGCATCAACATGGTTAAACATTGCATTCAATCGAGCAGACAATGTGGAGACTTGTAGTTCCTCTCCAATTGTTTTTCCAATGATGTCCCCTTGTGCCAAAGCTTCGGGGATGACTCCCAAAACTTGACTACCTCCTAAAAATGCAGCTATTGACACACCTCCCATTAACCCAAGACTGCCTCCCCCATACACTAAATGAATCTTTCTCTCAGCTAGCACTTGACCAAGATGATTTGCTGATTCTAAAAACTCCTTTTCTTTCCCAGGACTAGATCCACTGAAAACACAAATATTTCTTATATGATGACCTGAGAAACTTTTCATTTCTACACACTTCTGTATTTGATGAATATATGGGTTGATTAGAAATGAAAGGAAGGAAAAGAGGATTTTATAGATGAGCAATTAGAAAGACAATCATACCACCTATATATAGGCCAGTTGGAGTCTCACACACACACACTCTCTCTTTATTTATTTATTTATTTACTTTTGAAAAAACATCTGTATGTACAGGTAGTTGTAATTGTGGCTCATATCTTCCCTTGATTTTACGTCCAAGAACGGCTTAAACGCCCTCTATGGGTCGGGGATAGGCTTCCCATCCAGTTTTCTTAAAAACTAGCAAACAAGGTCTTTTTTAGTCAAATTCCCAAGACTAAGTTGATCATATTCTTTATGAAATAGTGGCCATAAATCGTGAATTGCACGATGCACATCTCCATTAGGATGCGTCTCAAGAGTCAATAGAAGATTATCTAAAGACTCCTTACTTAGGCCATCCTTAATGAATTGTATTTTATCTTCACAGTTTATAGATACCATTTCTAAAGAACAACATTGTGTATTACAAGTCCATCTAGCACATTGATGACAGACTTTCAGTAGTTTTGCATGACATTTCTTTGCAAAAGTGCTTTTACCTGTTCCAGGCATGTGTGAAATGAAGGAGTTAGAGGACTCACCTGATAATCAGACATTTGCTTCAATCAACTAGCGAATATCTTCAGGAATTCCATGATTCATTAACAATCTCAATCTTGCATATCTAGTATGGTAAATTTTTGTAATTGCATTCTGAGGCAGAGCGGGAAAATACCTTTTCAATTTTTCAAGATTAGTGTTCATTTTCAAATGAGAATTGGAAGAGAGATTCAAAGAATTGCACAAATATATACACAAGTATCAGTTATTGTGAGAAACTAAAAGAACCGACTTAAGTCACGGAGTGCCGTTATCTGCCATTTGACCGGGGTGAGAGAAACTAGCAAAAATCACTCAAAAAGAAACACAAAAATAATATAGAAAAAAAAATCAATCTTTATATACAGGATCATCCAATTCAATAGAGTCATGTTCAACTGAAAAATTATCAAAGTAAACTTTCAGACGATGTCCATTTACCTTTATAAACATTGTCATTCTTTGGATTCTCGATGTCGTAGGCCCCATATAGATACACATGTTTCACAATAAAAAGACCGCTCCATCTTAATCT